ATAAGAAGTGGATCTATTTGAGAGTTTGAGTTATTTCATAACTTGTGTCAGAGGATCTATCCTTCAGATCTTACAGCAGTGATAATAAATCTCTGCAACTTGTTAACAGCTGATTAACAACGCTGCTCTTGTAGTGACAGACGGCTCCTCGTTCCTGTCCAGTAGCTTCACTCGAGGACTTTGTGTGATGATCTCCTTCTCTGCCGCCTTGTTAGCCTGCTTGCTAAACCCTAAGCCTCTGGTTCAAGCTCGGTTTGGTTTCATGTGATGTCAGTCTCATCAGGACAGTTGAAATGAGGACAGTCAGCAAGAAGCCAGAATTCATTCCTTCAGACTCGTCTTGCGCTCATCGTCAGAGGACCAGTAGCCCCCCGAGGCTCATGACTGATCATCTTGTTGACACATGAACTCACAGCGTCATACTTTCCAATAAGATGCAGAGCCATTCTGCATTTGGGAGGTTGTGAAATATTTGATATATTATAAAATCTTATCTTTTATTTCATTTCAACCAACATTCAGTGTTGTAAGATTTGGCATTTAGCTTAATTCTATGGTACAAAAGCTGCTGATTGGTGCTAAAAATGAAAATTCCTCTTTAGCGATTCCTGTAAGTCATGTCGAATAAACACAAAAGCAGCCAGCTGCTTTCACAAGCACACTTTGTGAAAAGTGTTTGGCCCACAGATGCTCCCGTCTTCACATTCTTACTGACCTTAACCGTGAGTGGGAGCCGTGCAAGGATATCTTTTTTTTACCTAATATATCACTCCCAGGAAAAAAAATAAATAAAAATCACTCCCAAAACCTGATTATGCAAGTAGTTCTTGCATAATCAGGTTCAGAAACCAAGGGCTTCACCTCTGTAACCGCATTTGCATCCTGTGAAATCACTCCAGCGTGTAAGTGACTGTAATGAATGCATCGCAGGGAGATTTGGAGAAATTTCAGGTGAACGCCGGAGGGATGAGACTGTACATGCCCGGCGTCTCGTCTCAGACACCTGAGCCGCTCCTTATCAGCAGCCGCATCGCAAACACGGATGCTGGAGGACGTACGACTCCAAAGTCAACAGACTGGCTCTTCCAGGAAGATTGTGATAAAAAAGTTCTGTGGAAAATCATCCAGATGACATTTGTGTGCTCGTGTGTTTACTTTTGTGTCTGTTAGGATGTTTTTACTGTCCAGCAGTCAGTATTTTTCCCGGCACGCTGTAGCCAGGCCTCCGTCTAATACTGGACGTCCTGTGACACATCGTGGACTTGCTGACTGTGGCGTTTAACCTCTGCCCTCTCAGCTCATCGCGGCGTCTAAAGAGAACTCCGGGGACCCGCAAATGAATCACAACACTCTGACCTTCTGTCATTATATTCGTTTCTTTAATGAAACCTGAAGTATTAATAACGATTTGAATTAACAGAGTTGCGCTGCAGCTGCCGTGACCTCTGACTTCTCTTTTGTGAACAGTTTAAAATGCACTTTGGGTAACGTAATCTATGCGATTAAGAATTTATTTAATGCTCATTCATAACTAGTAATGGGACCGCTGGCAGGCTACCGTCAGACTAAGTGTCCATATCCTGACATCGGATGTTGTCCATTTCATCAGTGGATGTTCAGTGCTGATATGAGGTTTGATTATTTGTTTTTTTTTTTTTGCTTTGGCTGGTTACCCAGACTGCCTTAATGGAAGCCTGCTGGCCTTGATAGTCCCTTCAGTATCACTGTTTATGTTGTTTACTGATGTAGCACAGTGTTACCCAGCATCCAGCCGTCCAAACCGTGGCGCAATCTCCCCCCCAACCCCTCCCCACCCGCCTGGATTGCGCCACGGTTTGGAAAGCTTTAATGGTATGAAGGGCATTAAGAGTGCATATCCGTCTGGCAGGCGAGGGGAATGCACCTGACTGGAATGTGATCATCAGCCACTCAGCAGCAGCTTTTTTGGATTTCTACACTGCACTGCCTGGAGCTAGATCTTAATGCAGAGATTCAGGCTTAATGAAAGACGCACTGTGAAAATGGTAAATGTCATTCATGGCTTCCTGATCTCTGCGCGTCATCTTATGTCTCTTTTCACTTGACTCTATTTAAGCCGTAGTCACACCAAGGTTGCTTCGCCACAAGGCCGTAGATAATGCACAGTCGGTTCCGCTCATGCACTGAATATTATTATTTTTGTTGAATAAATGAGAGCTCTGATTTGTTTAAAGAAATCAGGGCCAAGAACCTGTCTCCTTGAGTTTGTTTTGTCTCAGTCTGCAGCTTGACCACTGTGCAGGATGGAGCAGGTTGTTTCACAGGCAGCCTTTGTTAGACGCGACCTGCGGGTATCTAAATGTGTAAAACGCTCTATCATTAAATGAACGACACTTACAAGGATAGGCCCCTCTCACTTTCTCCTTTTCCCTCCTGTCCAGGCACGGAACACGATGTGCGGGAGAAGTGGCGGCAGTAGCCAACAACGGGATCTGTGGAGTCGGCGTGGCCTACGATGCAAAGATTGGAGGTACGGTGTGGATGATTGATTCGAGCTCACGCAGGCGAAACTCAGTTTCATCTCTTTTTTTTCTCTCTTTTTCCTTTTGACGCCAGAATAGGTGTTCTGCAGTGTCTGTGTTATTTTCAGTCCATTTCCCAGGCACAGCAGGCCACTGAATCTCTCTGAACATCACCACAGTTGTTATGTGGATTGTCAGCGCGCTGTAAGCATTCCGGTTTTGCATGGAGTACCAGTACTGAAATGTAGTTCCTGAAATGGCACGACGACTACAGCTTTTATTGAATCGACATTACCTTAATGCGAAACTTAGCGTTCGGAGTTTGCGCGCAAGTGAAACAAAAGCGGCTGACGTAGCTTCCTTCAGATGTTCGCTCCTCTTCTCTGCTCTGTGGACACACCGTTAAAAACGCCTTGAAGCACACGACCGCCGCTAACGGCAACCACAGAAATCATCAGATTTGAATTAACACCTCTCTGACGTTGTGTCAGCAAAAAACAACCTTCATAAGTGCAGGTTTTATGGCAGCGCTGTTGTGCTGGATTGCCTTAATTTGCACGTGTACCTAAGAACCTGCTAACTCGATACATTCTCAGACATCTGGTTGTGCTGGTGGTGTTTTAAAAGCAACTGGTGAAGGAAATTAAGGCGGCTCCCGAACTTTAACTGTTTACTGCACACTTAAAAAATGCAGCCTGCACAGTTTGTTTAAGGGAAGCCGGCTGCTGTACGGCTGATTTGAAGCCACGTCACAGGCGGGCCGGACGGTACCACACATCTCAACTCGTCGACGCTCTCCTATGATGTCGACCCCCACTGCCTCTAAGTGACGCAACCGCGACTCGAACAAGCCCCGCGTGTATCAAACGTACTTAATTGTGTCCCTCTGGCCAATGAAATTTCATCAGCCGCCGTCTGCCACCGCCATTACGTGCTCACAGCGTGTCGCCGCGTTTCATCTTTTTATTTAAGAAAGCAACTCAGACGAAATAAAGACCAAATAAATATTTGTTCTCTTTTAGTTTCTGGGTTTTCCTAGTCGCTCTCGCTTTCTCTCTTTGTTTTTCCGCCCTCCTATTTCATCTAGAAAGCGAATAACCAAATACTTAATTTATGTGGTGGTGGGTAGAGCTGAAACGAGTCGGTCGACAGAAAATTAACCAGCAACTGTTTTGGTGATTCATTATTCATTTAGTCCTTTTTTTTTTGTTTTTATATTCTTGCTTGAAGAAAAAAAAAATTCTAATTCCATCCCCTGAAATTGGAAGATTTACTTCTTTACTTAAGTTTTTTTATTTATTATTTATATCCTATAAAATTAAACTTTTTTATTTTGCTTCTTTGTTTTTTGCTACCTCGGGCTCTGGAAACTTGTGATGAGTATTTTCACAGCTGAACTTTCTAGATGTATGATTATTCAATTAACCAACAACAAATAAACAGCACAATGATTGATGATAGAAATAGTCTTCAAAATATACAAGAAGAATAAAAAGAAACACGATCAGTTGTCTATAAAAAAAACAAAACACCATTTTTATCAAATTCAAAATCACAGTCCTGCTTCTTTTCTTCTGTCTGACCGCTGCAGCTCCTCTTTAACTCACCAAAGTAAGACAACACACAACTTTTTTTTTAATAATAGTAGTTCCCGTGCTGATGTTACGCTACAGAGGGATGTTTTCTACCAACTGGCTTACTTCTGATGTACTACTTTGGTGCCAGACGTCTTCGGTGATAACGCAGTCCTCAAATCTGACAGCAACAGACGAATAATCTTCCAGTGAGTGTTTGGCTTTTGGGGTCAGTCGCTCTCCCGCCGTTAACAGCGGTTAGGTTTGTGTGTGTGTCTGAGAAACAATAAGACAGCAGCTCATTTATGAGGAGATACAAAAGCAGCGAGCGTGGCAAAATATTGTGAAATATTAATCTGTTTGTTCTACAAAGGATTTTGCGCCCTGATGGGTTGTTTTTGCTGCTGCCTTCAGGGAGCGAACGCTTTCTATAGTTTTAGTTCCCCCGTTCTTCAAAAGGAACTTCAGTAGCGCTGATATTAAAAACAACTAAGTTGACTTGTAAACAATTTTGATTATTTCATGATGTTTTCTTTCCCACAGTATGGTTCTAGAAATCCTAGCCGTATTAAATTGGCTGTTTGGGAGTAAAAGTTAGCTGCTGTTGTTGTTGTTGTTGTCCCACTGCCGGCATGTGTGGGTTTTGTGTTGCTTATTTCCCGATCCAGTCCCGAGGATGTGTTCAACAGTCAGTCTGATGGAGCGTAATGATGTGTAGTCCTTTTAACTGGAGAAGCTCATTCACCGCGGTGCATGCTAAATCTCATTACCTCCGTGCTTATCTCAATAGTCGTCTGTCTACTTCCAGCTGTGATAAAGTTTTAAACCCCGTCAAATGGTGCCATAACTGTAGTCTTTATCATAACTCCAGATGGCAAGTGTGAACGCGCCGCGCTGCATTCATTTTTTATTTTTTTTGGAACACAAGTTGTCTTTCATATAGGTGGAGCAGGAAGCTGACTGCTATTAGGGAAAGTTCCCACCTGTGTTTTCATGCACACTTGAGGCTCTTTTCCATCAGCAGAGACTAGAAGTGAACGTCAGAACCGACACCCAGCCATCCAAAGGAGCGGGCGCTGTTGTTGACAGAGTTTTTCTTTCACAGCGGCACTGCACTGTGAGCCCAAAAGGAAAGTTACGAGCACCGAACACGAGGAGGAAAAACAAAGGAGACGCGCTGCTGTGCTTGTCTATGCCATCCACTCGCAACCAGTGTCGGCTGCGGTGCCAGGCTATTTATTGAAGCCACGCCCACATCATAAAACAAGCTCGGCAGTCAATTAGTAAACAATCGATCTCAACAAATAAGAAAACAAATAATGTAACATGAGGTTTGCCCATCATAAACATACAAATAAACAAACATTAAATAATAATTGAGAGCACAGACTCAACAGCTGTGCAGTCCCTAATAGATGCAAAGATGTTTTTTTTTTGGCCTTTGTGCCTTTATTGGATAGTGTTAGTGAGAGAGAGACAGGAAAGTGGAGGGAGGACATGTGGGAAAGGGTCATGAGCGGGAATCGAACTCATGACCTCCACATCGGGACCGTAGCCCTGCACATGGGACGCCAGCTCAACCAGGTGAGCTACAGCGGCGCCCCAAGCTACAAAAATGTTTGAAGATAAACGTCTCATTTCGAATCCAGCCTTTTATTTCCAGGTGTAAGATTCAAGTAAAAGGATGCAGAGACTCGCCAAACATACACACAGCACCGGCACACAAAAGAATCCAGATTGTGCAAGTCTTAGGGTGGCACTGAACAGCTGGAGGCCTGACAAATCGTGTTCTCCAAGATGTCAAAAAAAAAACAAAAAACAGTCATTCCTAAAGCAGCCAGGCAGGCTTATTAATTTTTCCGGTCAAGTAGTATAAACTGCGGCGGCAGAGTGCAGACGGAGCAAAAGCTTTCGCGACTCCTCTGCACAAGATCACCTGCCCTCCCACCCCCCACCACCACTGCACCACCTGCTGAGCTGGAGCTCATTATTCAGCCATGAGACTCTCCTGTGAAGTGTCTCCGTGGTAGCTCCAAAAAAAGACTGCCTGTCCTCAGTCTTCCAATATTCATAAGTTTGTCTGGGGTAAAAATAATCCTCCCTGTTTAACTTTTTAAAATAAAAATAAAACAAAAAAAGCTTCCAGCAGAAGTGAAGTAGTTTGCTGCAGATCTTGGTTGAGCGTCATCCCAGAGGGTCACCACCTCAAACTGTCTCAATCCTGTCAAGAACTTCATCGGTTTTACTCACCAACTCCCACGGCCGCTCTTTGTTTCAGCCCAACTTGCGGCAGATAGTTAAAAGAATAGTTTAACATTTTGGGAAAACATGTTTAGAAGCTTTCATGCAGACGCTGGATGTGCAGATCAATACCGCTTTTCATGTCTGCTCATCAAATATTAAAGGAAAGATTGATATCAAACCACAGATGGTTGTTTTTTTTTTTACTCACCCTTTTTGTATGGATTGAGCGAGACATGTTTTATTAAGTGAACTTGAAAGGTGTTGTTAGGTGGATTTTGTCTTCAGTCAGGGTCAAGCTGGAGGTTTTCCTCTGCTTCCAGCTACGGAGGTGAAGCTGCCCGTGGCCTGTTAAAGCACATTTACTAACAGAATCAAACGGTTCATTTAACACGGGCTTAAATAAAGAATGCAAAACAAAGAGTCTGCTTTGTTCTAGCGCTTGTTAAAGCTCGCTTCTAATATTCTTCTACGGATACACCGGATTCAATGCTGCTGCTGAGCTTCGCCTGTGGTTTGTTGGAATAGATGGTGTTTTGGAGAGGCAGTGGAGATACTTGAGTCTCCTCAGCGCATCACATGTTCCCCTCACACAAATGCAGGCTGCCATGGAAACACAAGCAGCTCAGTGCCTGCTTTTAGAGAACTTCAAAGAGCCAGTGCTTGGTTACTTTAACCCACATAGAGCAGCGTGGAGTAACTTGACCTGCAACGTATCAAAGGGGGGAAATTAGTTTGTTTTTAAAGTGTCTTTGATTTTTCACCGCTCTCTCTCTCTCTGCGGAGGAACGTCGCTGAGACAAAGAAGCTGTTCTGTTGAAAGAAAACCTTCTGAACTGGGAGCAGAAATAATTGGTCGGGACAAGCATGTCACTCTCTTTGCACCTATACCGCATTGTTTTGTGTATGTGTTTATGTTTTATCTCCAACACAGCACTCATCTGCCGTCGCTTTTAATTTACCGTATAAATGAGTTGAAAGCTGCCGTTAGACGCCGGCTGCGTAACTCCTGCATCTCCGTGAATAAGAACAAGTCAATTTACACGTAGACAGCTGCACTAATTTCACTCAGACACGTAGGGAAAGACAACGAATGTTTTCTTTCATCTTTTTTTATCGGAGTTTGTTGTCTCAGAAGTCTGCTTCACACTTGAGGAGGTAGTTCACCCACAATGCAATTGATCTCATTCCATTTCTGTTTTTTTTCTAAACCATCTCAAGCACCAAAGAAAATCAATAGATAGTGTTTGATTTACATGCTGGGGCCCGTAGTAGCATCACAGTGGATGCGCAGACGACCAACACCTCTGAATGCGCTTTGCAAATACACATGAAGGCTAAACTGCATTGCAAATTAATGTGTGAATATGCAAATCAGCGGTCGTGCTTTGTCCCCACACTTTGCTGAGCACACTGTCGGGTGAAACTCCAGAGCTGCAGCACCGTGACGCGCTGAACTGCCAACTGGAACAACAGGACTCTGCAAGATTGGCATCACCTGCAGAACTTTCAGTGTAGACGACTGTGTGGATGAATAAACACATTTTAGCGTTGCAGTCTGACATTGCTGCAATCGTAATATACATTAAGAGATCTAAAGTGTTGCAGCAGATCCAGAAAGTTCTCACCGGGTGCTTCCTCCCACAGTTAATGCTTAAAATGGGGATTCTAAATTGTCCGTAGGTGTGAATGTGAGTGTGCTGGATTGTCTGCGATAGACTGACGACCTGTACAAGGTGTCCCCTGCCTTCACCCTGAGTCAGCTGGGATAGGCTCCAGCCCTCTCCAGACTCCACAGAGGATTAAGCGGTGTATAGATAATGGATGGATGATTTAACAGTAGAATAAATGTGAAGCGATGCAGAATGCCTGAGAGCCCTGCTGCATTATGCTCTATTATATTTAACATTGTCAACTGGTTCTAGATGCAGAGAAAGATTTAAAAAATAAAGTAAATAAAGACGTTTCCACCAGGAATTGGTGCAGAAAATAAACAAATCGGTACATT